AGTCGACATCGCGAGTACAGGGGCAGACGTTGGCGCCGCCGTGACTAATGTCGCCATCCGCGCCAAGACTCAATGCTGCAGTCCGCCGCGCGAGATAAGGCCGGCAGCGCTGGGAATCGCGCGAGGCGTCGAGGAGGTCTGGCCTAATCGCTCTGTTAGGGCAAGGTGCTGACAACGTGTAAAGATGAAAAGAGAGAGCAGAGACGAAAATCCAAATCTGAGCCCGAGCTCATCTGTACCTGCGCTCACTAAAAAAATCAAAATAAATACTAAAAAAATTAAAAAAAATCCGAAAAAAATTGGGGTGGTGGACAATTTGATGAGTGAGGTGCGCCCTAATTTTCAAAACATTTGGACTTATGTGCAGCTCTCAGCAAAAAAGACAAATCGGAGGTCTGTAAAAATGTGTACTGTTCATATACTGTTTTGGTCTGATTTGTCTTTTTGGCTGAGAGCTGCACATAAGTCCAAATGTTTTGAAAATTGAGGCGCACCTCACGCATCAAATTGTCCACCACCTCAATTTTTTTCGGAATTTTTTGAATTTTTCGGAATTTTTTACGAATTTTTTTTTGAACGGGTGCAGATGCACCCGGGCACCGAAACGCCGCACTCGAGCAGAGAGAATAATAGATGAACAGTTATTTATACCCAGTTTACAAGGCGGTTACAAAAGGAGGCAGTTGTCAAAAGTGGCACCGACATAGCAGTGATTAATAGTTAATTAACCTAATTAATTAATTCCTAACACCATCTACCGTTTCAGTTGGCATTTGTTTGTTATCGCAGCCATTTCTTTGGAAAATATGTCAGATAATGTAAATGTAAAAAGGTAAAAATCCTGGTGTTGTGCAATAGCAACAAAGCAATAGCAGTTGTCAGCATATTACATCTATATATATATCAATATAAAAAGACTCAAAGGGGCAGATCCAACAAATCCCGGTCGTCAAATCAGGTCAATCCAACGACTCAGACTGCTCCAATAATGAGCGTTCAACACGTTTAGTGTGCAGTTAATATCATACCAAATATTAATGCCAATGCTAATCACATAATTAATACGCAAATAATATTCTGCCTAATATTTACGTGTAATTAATATATTATCTAATATCAACGTGCATTGCACGTACACATTTACTAGTGGCTTGTAAACAGTTCGAAAGATTCGGGAAATTGCATCCTCCATGAAGTGGCTGGCAACACGGACAAGTTAATGCATATAATAATTCATTTTACAGCAAAAGCAATTTGGCCTGATAGAAACAGAAATCATCTAACAGCATCACGAACCACAGAGGAGTTGTACCGAATGCATCGGTAACATTCATTCAACCAGAGACCAGTTCGCTTCCAAAAGAAGCAGCAGAAAGTACAGGTGGTAGATAATCAAATAAGCAGGGACCTAAGACCTTAGTACCTAGCGAAGAGGACTTGGTCCTCTTGGTTGATCTGGAGATCTGGAGAAGCGGAGCCGAAGGAGACGCCGGAGAAGAGGGAAAGCAGGCCGGTAGGCCTAGTACAGTTTCCTTCCCGATTGGCATTAGGGGGGGCGGGGAGAGAGGTGCCATGGCCGTTGGAGAGGCGACAGAGAGGAGGAAGAACAGGACACAGCAGGGGAAGGTGGGGGAAGGGGGGCGCCATGGGAGAAGATAGACTATGGAGGAAAACAACGGAACGCTAGATAGACTATGGAGAAGGTGTGCATGTAGGTGCGCCGCCGTCGCCGAGCTTTCTTTCTCCGCCGGCCGTCATCCCGCTCCTGCTTTGCTGCTTACTTTTTTATTCTTTTATTATTATTATTATTAAATGTGGTTATCTGGTTGTTTTACTTCGAGCGCTTCTATGTTTTTTTAACAAGTACAATGACAGATGTCCACATACGCTCACATATAATCACCCATGTGTGCACACCTTCAACATACTAGGCTGCCGTCATATCTTGAAGTTCACAAAGTCACAACAACAGATGTCTTGTAGAGAATGTCTCTTTTCATTAAATGCACATCACTTAAAAGTCAGAAAAATCGAGTCTAGGATTTGAACCCCGATGGATTTAATTCCATCAAGAGAAATCTTACCATCTAAGCCATGCTCATTCGTTTGAGCGCTTCTATCTTGTCAGCTAGTATGAGTATATTTGAGAATAATCTGGTCAGTTTAGGAGTCACAAACATCACGAGACACATCTGCCACGTGGCCACGGCTCCAACCCCCAACTAGATCAATGTATCCCCGCTTAGAGCGCCAAGAGGGGAGCACAATCTGGCCGGGCCGAGGCGAAAGACATGGGGAAAGTGATGGAACCTAAACCGACAGATCTTGAGGTAGAATATCCTAAGCTAAGGGTCTAAGAGGGATGGCAACAATGACATAAGGTTTTACTTTTATCCAGGTTCGGGCTCCAAGCAAATAATACACAACATCCTGCTTGCATTTATTGCGTTGGAGTGGGTATAGAGTACAGGTAAACTATCACGAGATTGTAACTTGTTTTCTATAAGCCTGGCCCCTTGGTTTATATACGTACCGGGGATTCTAGAGTTACAAGATCCTAATTAGCTACGTACCAGGAGGCAAAGTGCTCCACAGATCCAACATGGTGAGAGGTCTTCTGAAACTTTCTGATTATACATCATGAGCCGCCTGATATGGCCCAGGTCGGAACCGTCATGGGATACTCAGCCCGACCCATCAAGCCTGGAGTCAACATGGTGAGAGGCCCCCTAGCCAGGATATCATCAGTAGCCCATGAACCAGTCTTCAAGTTTGGACTCTCCTCGGCTCATTCGAGTTGCCTTCATCTTCAACCGGCTCATTCAAGTTGCCTTCATCTTCAACCGCCGGTCATGAACCTAGTTCGACGAAAGAATCTCTTTGCAGTCAAATCTTGACATCGAAATACATCCGAGGTGACCAACACCATCTTGGTCTCTGAGAAGTGTCAAAAGAATTTGAACCGAGCTGCACGTTGGAATTGGTTCCCGCGCTGCAGGTCCGTGGGCATGAGGTATTCCCGCGCTCCGGATGTGATGGTTCTGGTTCTGAGAGCAACTCCAACACAGGTACCCATTTCGTCAGCCGTTGTCCGTTTGGGTCGGCATGAAAAAAACTAGAGGCCCAACACGTCGACCCATTCGCAAAACGCGTCCGCTTCACGTCCGCGCCGACCCAAATTTACGATAGAAATGTGTCGGCGCGGACGCGAAGCGGACGCCTCGCGCGCCTTTATTTCTCGATGTCCACCGCGTCCTCACCTGGCGGCTGTCCAACTACCGCGGTCAGCTTAATTTATGATGACCGCCCACCTCAGGCCCACGCGTCAGCGACGGCGGTCGGTCTTTTTTAATTCGAGCATGCGAGGGGGTGGCGTCCTCATCCGCTCCAGAAAGCCCCCCTCTCCATCTCGCCACCCTCTGCTCCCCCGTCGACGGCAACCCTAGCCACCCCTTCGGCGCCACGGTCGACGAGGGCGCACACAGAGGAGGTGTGGCGCCGGTGGGCGCTGCTGACGCCGAAGCAGCACCGCGACTCCGCCTACGACGTCGACTCGCCCTATTGGGCCCATTGGTTCGCCTTCGAGCACGAGGAGCTCAGGCGGCGCGGCGTTCGCGGCATCTCGCATGGCTCCCCGCCGACGCCCCTCATCGTTTGCCACGAGGACCAGGCGGCGGAGGTCGCCTACCAGGCGGCCCTGGCGGCTGTCCTCCAGGAGAACGAGGAGGAGGGCGCGGTGTAGGGAGGAGGAGGAGGCGGCGTACGAGGCGCGCATGGTGGAGGCCATGGCGTTGTCCGCAACCGGCGATTGCGTTGTGCCGTCGCTAGCCCCACCGTCTTCAGCCAAGGCCGAGCCGGAGCTGACCCCCATCAAGCGCTACTCCTGGACCAGGGTGGTGCATGAGTGGGTCAGCGAGCCGGCAATCTGGATGAGGGCGATGGAGGCGTAGGAGGCGGCCTACCTCGAGCAATGGCGCCAGCGAAGGCTGGCCGAGGAGCGCCACGAGGGCGAGTACCTCGAGCAGCTAGAGCAGACGCCGAGGAGGAGGCACGCCGTGCCCAGCCGGCGACGGCACAGCCTCTGGCAGATGACATCGCCAGGCTCTGGAACACGACGTTCCCTTGGGCCGGCCCGACGCCGACGCTGATCGACCTCACCGGCCCCGACGTCGACGAGGAGGACTCCTAGGGCAACACGCCGCCTCCTAGTTTAATCTTAATTAATGTTTTAATCAATGTAATTTGGACGCATGGACTCTCGTCGGCCTTTGTGGCCGGCAATAATGTTTACTTAATGTTTTTCTATTTTTGAAATATTTGTGTTCTATTTTCACGTGAACTAAAAATTAGGTCATGCTAGCGTTGGACGCATGCGCCGACCCAAATGCGGAAGCAGACATTGGTGTCCGCCGGGCCGACCCAAACGGACAAAAAACTGATAAAACTGTCGTCTGTTTGGATCGACGCGTTGGGGTTGATCTGACAGCGCAAACCGGTCATATCCACACTGGTGTCCTTGACCTGATGGTCAACATGACATGCTGACATGGCATGGAACCCACCAAGGTCACGTCACATCAAGAGGGATTGTGAGTGCCCAATCTAGTTTGTGTGCGTGATATTATCGTAATCACAGCCATAAATGTAGAATGATTCGATGTATTTCCTGGCCTTTGAACCATTCCACGATATGCGGTATGTTCACAGAGGACTGTAATGCAGGAAAAGCAGACAGCTCAATTCTCCAGTACAAGTAATCCATGGGTGCTCTGCCAAACATGCATTCTGATGGGCTAGAAAATATATTGAGGAATGAAGGCAGTTCCTTGCAATGGAAAATCCACAATAAAATCAGTTGTACTCCCTCTGTTCCAAAACAGATGACTTAATTTTGTACTAACTTTAGTACAAAGTTGGTATAAAATTGGGTCATCTATTTTAGAACGGAGAGAGTACTAGTTAATAACACCTTTATGTTCACCCTCTATAACAAAAGATAATTATGGGCTAACTTTTTTGGCCATCCAATCACTGGACTCATCTCCTTCCTGGGTTCTTGTGAACATCAATCTCTGATTACTTTTCAGGTTCACGTAATCAACCTGAATAAGAAAATCAACAGTATTAAGCAACACGATAGAGGCATATGAATCTGCAATAAGTATAACTCATTCTGTATTTTAAAGTATAAAGGCAGATACCGATATAGCGATAAGATAACTTAACCTAACCTTTTCTGGATCAAGAGTCAGAAGACAATAGGCATCAACTGGGCCAGCTGACGGATCGAGATGAACATCCGTAACGTGGTCATCATTTGCGACGGGGACCCCTGGAGATGGTCCTAAGTATTGCAATCTTGACTTTACTGAACTGGCGAACCAAGCTTTCTCTCGTTGCTGTGCGATAAAACAACCAATGTTGAGCAAAAGGATTATAAAAGAGCAAAAGGATTATAAAAGAGCACTTAATATCAATGAATGCAGCTGTGCTGCTTCTAAGCATCACCAAAAGCTTTGAAAGATGAAAGTTGTGGAGACATTAATACTATGTTAAGCCGTCATATCTCAATGAGATGATCAAACCCTGTGTGTGAGAAACTATACCGAAGTAAACTAGCTACTAGAACAGTTATGTTCAGTTTTGTGCAAAACCAAATCTTCAATTACAGATATCATTTCATATGCAAGACACCTCCACTACGCAGAGCACAAAGCAGACTGTACTCAGCTCTAACCTGGAGCTTGGCAGGATCGGGACAGGAACCATCGATCACATCTATGATGCCGCTGATACGAAATTGTTCCCATGAATCGGTGAAATACCAGCATATCTGCAAGACATTGAATATCAGGCATTCCTCTGCGAGAACTCGGCACTTGTGACGCTTAAAATGGTGATACGCAATTCTGCAAATTCTTCACATCCCCTACCTCGCCGAGGGGCCACTCCTTGATCTCACCAATCTGTTCGTTCGCAATTCGCACAACCAAACCAGCAAGGGAATCAGCGAGCAGCAAGAAAAGAACTATGTATATATAACAAGGTTAGAAAAGCACGGGATTAGTGGAAGCAACCTTGTTGCTCCGCGCATCCGTATTAATCTGAATCTTGTCGCAGTGTTCTTGGAAGCCCCTAGCAAGACCAAAATTCCAGGTCAAAACCGGTAAGCGATGGAGGGGGAGGGCAGGGAGCTACTCCCAGCAAGGCCGGCACCTGAACACGACGGTGCGGTTCGCCGGCCTGCCGCCGCCGCCCACCGTGGCCTGAAACGACGGACCGTCCGTTAGGGTATCAAGTTTTTCTCCCCAAAAGAAGGGGATGGGGAGGGGGACGGGGGATGGGAGCGTACGAGCTGGAAGAAGGTGGAGTGCTTGAGGTGCGCGTTGGTGTCCAGCGCTCGCTGCAGCAGCAACCTCCATGGGCTCGAGAGCGTCGACGCGGCGGCGCCACCGCCGGCCATCTCTGCCTGTCGCCGCCTCCTGCCGTCTCGCCTCACTCGCACTGAATGTTCGCTTGACGCTGGTTGATGCTGGGCGGGGAGATTAGCGCGGATGAGCGGCTAGGATCTCCCGGGCGATGTCCCGCCGGGCCCACGGGCCAGTGACAGTTAACGGGAGGTGCCTTATGCAACACTAATAAAAAAAATAAAAAGAGCTCGTACGATTGCAAAGGAGGAAAAAAAATACCGCACGCTCCTAACCCAATCTATCCCTTCTATCCCTAATCCCTATTTCTCTCCCTAATAATAAAGCACGGATTGGGTCTTCGGGTTCACCGTCACAATACACTTTCTTGCTGTGAATTTACGCTTTCAGGTCTTTTTCTTGAAACAAAAATTCTTGAAACAGAAAAAGAAAAAAAATGCAGAAAACTGCGTCCGACAGGATTTGAACCAGGGTCGCTTGGAGATAGCCCAGCGCCCCAAGCCAATTCAGCTAGCTTGCTTGTCACGTTAATTAACTGAAACTTAATCTAATCTCTCTAACACATGGGCCGAGCTGGCCCACTCCAAGGACGCAGCCAACCAAACAGGCCTATTTGTTGCCAGCTAATTAGTCCCACCTCGCCTTTTTCAATTTAATTCCACCGATTTATATAGGACTATGAGTTGTATGACAATCAACAAGGAGCCTCGAGGATTAACTAGCGAAGGATGAGATGTGGGTTGGCGTTGTGGCTGCACGATACACGAAAATAGAGGGGCATGAGAAAAATAAAAGAAGAAAGGAGAATTAATAAAGAAGGAGAAATAATAGAAAGAGAGATTTTAGATTTGCTAGCTTAAAAACACTAATTACATGGGTGTTCGGTCTACAATTTTATTGTGCCTCCAGCTATTTCATCGGCTATGACACATACATTCAGTCTTTATAGCCCAACGGGGCCATCGGCTACGACACATACATTCAGTCTTTATAGCCCAACGGGGCCATAGTTGCCTATCGCACGTCCTGATCTGATACGGCCGGGGTGCATCTTTTCAATCTCATTAACGTAAAAAGGTAACAATTTTGATGGTGTATTTTTTGTTACCTTTGTACCCATCATCCATATAATTGCAATGCCCATGTGACTAAAGTTCAGTAGTGCCCCAATGGCATTCATGACCTCTCGACAAGGAGACTAAATGGCGGTGGGTTGAGTCTCGTCCGTCGCTCGACTGGACATACAAAGTGTCTCGGATACACGCAGACAGAAAAAAAATAGACTAGAGTTTTTACAAAACTTGGCTAAAACATGAGCCACAACATTACAATGCTGACGAACATGCTTGAAAGTCGAAGAAGCGAAGACGAGGGCACAGCGAAAAAAACTTTAGAACTCATAAATAGTCTCACCTCGCTCCTTTTCAACCAATTCAATCCATTTATATACGTGAGTGACTTTGCCGCATCAGAAATCAACTAGCCTCTGAGGGGAAAAGAATGAAGGAATTAATCCGCAAGAGAGGGAAGAGCGAGTACGTTCGAAGGAAGAATCAGATAAGTGCACAATCGGGCAGCCAACATCCACGCGTGTGTGGCCCAAACCAAATATGGAAAATCAGATAAGGACAATCAGCAGCCGCCGGCAACGGCCTGGGAAATCAACCCAGGAGAGGGAACGGAATGGAATTAGAAGGATGAAGAAAATGAAACGGAATGAAGCCAGCGTGATCACACCGCAGAGCCTCGCGAGCTAGGGCCAAGCGAAATTGAGACGACAAGGTCGAGCGTCAGAGGAGAGGGGCACCGACGGACACCGCTGCCACCCCGACGCTTCACTCGACGGACCCGGGATTGGAAAGGAGGGGGGGTGCATACCACCGGCCCCGGCGTCTTCTCCTGGCCCAGGCCGAATGCCGACACGACAAGGCCGGGCACTCCAGGAGTGCACCGTCGACGCCGAGGAGGTGTGACCGCGCGCGTGCTCGATCCTGTTTTCTTGGTTAGTTGTGGAAGAGGGAAGAGAAAGAGGGGGGGTACACGGCACCGTGGGTGGGAACCTTGGGCCGAGCAGAGGACGAACAGCGCTGCTGGGTGGGATGTTGGGTGCTGGCCTACTCGGTGATGAGGAGCAGCATTGCGTGGATAAAAGAGGGCCACACAGGAGGATAACTCGGCGGGGATATTGGTATGTGTTCTCTGTGGGGATAATTATCTTCTTTTTTCTTTTTTTTCCATGATAATACGCGTCTCATTTATATAGAACAAGTTACAAGGCACGTAAGGGCCGACCATACATAATTGAAAAGATAGGAAAATCCTATGCAGAATACCAACGCCTGTCCCTTTCCTTCGACACCATCGAAGCGGCCACCAAAGGATAAAAAGACATATCACCTCTTCACCCAAGCTCGATGCGGCTCCATCACTAATCAGCAGCTTTACGGACCTCCAAAGTAGTTTGTTCGAAGCAAAACCATAGATGTTGAAAGAATCAGACCGGGGCAACATGTCCCCGGACACGCCATCGAACTTCAAAACTGACACCCCCGCATGACGACGAAGTCGGAGGAGGAAACCAGAACTGTCAGCCGTCAACCACAGACCCAACACAAGATACTCCATCTTCCAGCTGTCACTTGCGTAGACAACTGCCTGTGCGTACTCCTAAACGACAAAACCTCCCTACTCCACCATGATGTCGGAGGCAACAACGCAACAATGGAGACAGAGATGAAGGAGAGACACACCTAATAGAGTCGCCGCCGCCGCCTTGCCAACACCATCCATGAACCCTAACGCTGCCGATCTGAGGGATCGACAAAGACACGATGCCATCAACTCCGAGAAGCCGCCATGAAAAACACCGCCGGTGTGGGAGTGGAGTTGAGGCAGATTTATTCATCCAAGCACTGCTCCCACCACCCCAACGACGCCCCACGACCTATAAATCCAAATCCTAACTACAGAGCGGAGGAACGGGTCCCCCTCCCTCCTGTCGCCGGAGCAGCGACCGAAGGGAGAGGGGGCCAGTTCCCCGGCCGTTGGAGATCAAAGGAAATAGGTCGCCTCTCCCTAGACGCTTGGTGGTGGCGGCGGCTAGGGTAGGAACGCCTCGACTAGACAGCGACTGGCCGTGGGGATAATTATATGCTGTTGTTTGTTTGCTAAAACGTAGAAGAAGCGTATACGTGATGGATGGTGTACATGGCCTTCACATGAAATTTATCAAAAAAGTTTGTCTTTTTATGGTGATGATGCAGAGTGAGTGCGGTTCGGTCTTTGGGCCAAGTTTCAAGTAGTGCAGAAGAAAAGGAACACAATATAATTTTGCAAACCAAGCAACCAACATTTTCCTTAAAAAATGTCAACATAGTAAAAGCCAGTTTGCTTTTAAATATTAACAAAAAAATGTATACAAACAATCCCACTTCAATGCACCACTACTCTTTCATCCAAAATAAATTTGTTTGCATTGAAACCTTTTGAAAATTCTAGGAAAAACATTTAGATTAGTTATTAAACTCTCGAACAGTATACAACAATTTCAACATCTGTATATCCCGCTAAAAACACTTACGTTCTTCTGCCCGATGATAGTGCTAAGTTGAAGGAGGGGCCATCAAAGGACACCCTGATGACTTTCTCATCTTTACACTACATGGTCTGGACACCAACAAATTTTTTTAATTGCGGACACCAAGTGTGTGTGTTTTTTTAGACAAAGAGTGTTCCAAAATCTTCTTATTTAGAAAGACATGCTTTTAAATATGTTCATGTTTTTTTTAAAATGCACAAAACTCTCGAAAATGTTCCAATTATTAACAAAACCATTTAAAATCGACCGCAAAATTTTCAAATTTCATAGTTAAAAAACATGTGGTCAAAAAAATTCATCTTCAAAAGATGTTTCAGTTCTAATAAAAAGATAAAATTTTCAATTTTTTTAATTACTTTATAGTAAAGAAATAATTGTGTTTTTTGAGAAATAAAAAATAGAACTGATTACTAGACTATCCCATGCACCACTATTCTTTCATTGATGAAAGATGTTAGGATGGCTTATTTACGTCCATGCGTCATACTTCGGAAAGAGATAACATTATAAACTTATAGCGATGTTTATCCGAACTGGATCTAAGAAATGGCGCTACTGTCACACAGAGCATGTTTTATGAATTTTTAGCCCGTTGCAACGCACGGGCATTTGTACTAGTTAATAATAAAGCACGGATTGACTCCGTGGGTTCACCGTCACAATACGCTTTCTTTCCGTGAATTTACGCTTTCAGTTTGCATAAGCCGCTGCTAACGAGGTGGTACTAAAATAACGTACATGTCCGATTTTTCTTTCCGGAACGTTCATGGGCCAGATGGGTCGAGTTGAGCCTGCCTTTCTTTTCCCTTGTTCATTGGAAGTCTATATTTACCCGCTGCCACCCCTAAGTAAAAGAAAAAAATGTTGTCGTTTGGTATATTCACCCCGTGATTCGATCTAATCGATGCGAGTCAACGAGCAGGGGGGCATCAGGCGGCTCCGGATCGAGCGACATCCGCAAAGGGCGGCGGTGGCGCACGGGCTCGACGCGCAAAAAGACGGTGGCATCCGGATCCAGGTGAGCGGCTTAGGGGTTCTCCGGGGCGGCGCCATGGTTGCTCCGATGACGAGGATGTGGCACTCCCCTTCTGGTGCGGCGCACGAGGGAAGGAGGAAGGGATCGACCCAAGACGGGGGCTGAGGCCGGCAACGCCTTCTACACAAGCCTCACCAGTGGTGCCCTCTACACCTTCTCGCTCACCCCCGGCACCTTCTCGCTCACCACCGGCGTAATAGTCATCCTCGACGCCGTCAGCTCTGTACAAGGCACCAATCGGCATCTTCGACGGCCACAAGTTCTCCTACTATGCCTCCGTCGCCTCCGCCAGCATTGTTTGGGTGCGACGACATGGATGTCCGGCACCTCGGCCAGCAGCGACCGCGCCCATGGTGGCCATGCACGCTAAGCTACCAAGCACACAGCTCGATTGATCTACAGGAACTAGTAATAATCATGACTCAAAACCCAATAGGTCTACGTCCTTTATTCAAACATGACATCCCATCTTTGATGCCGCTTATCCTTCTTCTCACTCTCCCCGACAGTGATCTCGATGCTCATGCAATCACAAGCGTTTGAATATGCTTTCGCGAGGTTTTGCTGAGGCGTAGATGCGTGGTTATATATGATTTCTTTCTCCAGTCTGGTTTTTGCTAACGTATTCATTTCCAATCCGAAACGACATTGGTATGAAAAAAAATCGGATCATGTGTTGTTGATTAAGGTTGCACCTTAAATAGCATTTAAAAATTATTGAGACGCAAAATAACATCGTATTCAGATTCTATATAGTTTTTCTAATCAAATTTCATATATAACATGTTAAAATTGAAGTTAGGGTTTAAAAGATGGATATTATTCTTAAAGTATTTGATATGGATTGCGTGTTGATTACGAGAAACAACAGGAGATTCTCTACAAACGCGAGACATTTTCATGTTCTCACTTAAATCTAGATTGCGGTTTGTTTATTAAAAAAATAAGGGTTCTCTGCAAAAGCGAAAGACTTACTTAAACTTGTACTGCGGGTTGGTTACCGGAAACATCAGGGGATTTTCTACAAAAAAGGCAACGGATGAGCAAAAACAATCCTATCGTATTATTAGGTATAGAATTGTTAGTGCCACGCCGGTTATGGGACTGTTTTGTTAGGGGATAATCCAACTCTGGTAAGCGACCGGCGACAACAGCGAGTAAGTGACTCGCTCTGACGGTGATAGTGGTCAGTGGTCTAGAGACCTTGATATAATTCTTTTTTTTTGGAGGTGCTTTGTATTTCTGATGAACTTTTATAATAGGTTTTTTTTTTGTAAAAAGTGAGATGTTCGTAAGGATATATAATGGATCATGGGCAGTGTGAAGCCATATGTACAACCTGGATCAAGCGAATGAGAAATTTTTGAAATGCCATTTTGAGAAATTAGAGGAGCAACACATGATCAACTGGGATTTTTTTCCCCCAAATCATTGACTTGCGCATGTATTTAGTTGGTGCTACGGGTCATGGCATCTCCTTTAAACGAAATTAGACTTGCTCCAATGTTGGAAATATGCCCTAGAGGCAATAATAAAATGGTTATTATTATATTTCTTTGTTCATGATAATTGTCTATTGTTCATGCTATAATTGTGTTATCCGGAAATCGTAATACATGTGTGAATACATAGACCACAACACGTCCCTACTGAGCCTCTAGTTGACTAGCTCGTTGATCAAAATATGGTCATGGTTTCCTGACTATGGACATTAGATGTCGTTGATAACGGGATCACATCATTAGGAGAATGATGTGATGGACAAGACCCAATCCTAAGCATAGCTCAAAGATCGTGTAGTTCGTTTGCTGTAGCTTTTCTGAATGTCAAGTATCATTTCCTTAGACCATGAGATTGTGCAACTCCCGGACACCGTAGGAGTGCCTTGGGTGTGCCAAACGTCACAACGTAACTGGATGACTATAAAGGTACATTACAGGTATCTCCGAAAGTGTCTGTTGGGTTGGCACGAATCGAGACTGGGATTTGTCACTCCGTATGACGGAGAGGTATCTCTGGGCCCACTCGGTAATGCATCATCATAATGAGCTCAATGTGATCAAGTGGTTGATCATGGGATCATGCATTACGGTACGAGTAAAGTGACTTGCCGGTAACGAGACTGAACAAGGTATTGGGATACCGACGATCGAGTCTCGGGCAAGTAACATGCCGATTGACAAAGGGAATTGTATACGGATTGATTGAATCCTCGACATCGTGGTTCATCCGATGAGATCATCGTGGAGCATGTGGGAGCCAACATGGGTATCCAGATCCCGCTATTGGTTATTGATCGGAGAGTCGTCTCGGTCATGTCTGCATGTCTCCCGAACCCGTAGGGTCTACACACTTAAGGTTCGGTGACGCTAGGGTTGTTAGGAAGACTTGTATGTGATTACCGAATGTTGTTCGAAGTCCCGGATGAGATCCCGGACGTCACGAGGAGTTCCGAAATGGTCCGTAGGTGAAGATTTATACGTAGGAAGTTGTCATACGGTCACCGGAAAGGTTCGGGGGCATATCGGTATTGTACCGGGGCCACCGGAGGGGTTCCGGGGGTCCACCGGGAGGGGCCACCTCTCTCGGAGGGCCTAATGGGCTGTAGAGGAAAGGGGAACCAGCCCTACATGGGCTGGCCGCATCCCCCCCTTGGGCCCATGCGCCTAGGGTTGGGGGGGGGGAACCCTAAAGGGGGCGCCCCCCTTGCTTGGGGGGCAAGCCCCCTCCCCTTGGCCGCCGCCCCCCTCTAGATCTCATCTAGAGGGGGCCGGCCCCCTTCCTCCTTCCCCTATAAATAGAGGGGCAAGGGGAGGGCTGCACACAACATCCAAGGCGCAGCCCCTCCCCTCCCCAACACCTCTCCTCCTCCGTAAGAGCTTGGCGAAGCCCTGTCGGAGTACTGCAGCTTCACCACCACCACGCCGTTGTGCTGCTGTTGGAGCCCTCTTCCTCAACCTCCCTCCTCCTTGCTGGATCAAGGCGCGGGAGACGTCCTCGCTCCGTACGTGTGTTGAACGCGGAGGTGCCGTCCGTCCGGCGATAGGATCTTCGGTGATTTGGATCACGACGAGTACGACTCCATCAACCCCGTTCTCTTGAACGCTTCCGCTCGTGATCTACAAGGGTATGTAGATGCACTCCTCTCTCCCTCGTTGCTACATGACTCCATAGATTGATCTTGGTGATGCATAGAAAATTTTAAAATTCTGCTGTGTTCCCCAACAGTGGCATCATGAGCTAAGTCTATGTGTAGTTACTATGCATGAGCAGAACACAAAGCAGTTGTGGGCGTTGAAATTGTCAATTTGCTTGCCGTTACTAGTCTTGTCTTGATTCGGCGGCATCGTGGGATGAAGCGGCCCGGACCGACCTTACACGTACGCTTACGTGAGACTGGTTCCACCGATTGACATGCACTAGTTGCATAAGGTGGCTGGCGGGTGTCTGTCTCTCCCACTTTAGTCGGATCGGACTCGATGAACAGGGTCCTTATGAAGGGTAAATAAAAATTGGCAATTCACGTTGTGGTTTTGGCGTAGGTAAGAAACGTTCTTGCTAGAAACCTATAGCAGCCACGTAAAAACTTGCAACAACAATTAGAGGACGTCTAACTTGTTTTTGCAGCAAGTGTTTTGTGATGTGATATGGCCAGAGGATGTGATGAATGATATATGTGATGTATGAGATGATCATGTTCTTGTAATAGGAATCACGACTTGCATGTCGATGAGTATGACAACCGGCAGGAGCCATAGGAGTTGTCTTTATTTATTTATGACCTGCGTGTCAACATAAATGTCATGTAATTACTTTACTTTATTGCTAAAGCGTTAGCCATAGTAGTAGAAGTAATAGATGACGAGACAACTTCAAGAAGACACGATGATGGAGATCATGATGATGAAGATCATGGTGTCATGCCGGTGACAACGATGATCATGGAGCCCCAAAGATAGAGATCAAAAGTAGCAAATAATATTGGCCATATCATGTCACTATTTGATTGCATGTGATGTTTATCATGTTTTACATCTTATTTGCTTAGAACGATGGTAGCTTAAATAAGATGATCCCTCGTAATAATTTCAAGAAAAGTGTTCCCCCTAACTGTGCACCGTTGCGAAGGTTCGTTGTTTCGAAGCACCACATGATGATCGGGTGTGATATATTCTAACGTTCGAATACAACGGGTGTAAGCCAGATTTACACACGCAATACACTTAGGTTAACTTGACGAGCCTAGCATGTACAGACATGGCCTCGGAACACAGAAGACCGAATGGTCGAGCATGAGTCGTATAGAAGATACGATCAACATGAAGATGTTCACCGATGTTGACTAGTCCGTCTCATGTGATAATCGGACACGGCCTAGTTAACTCGGATCATGTTATATTTAGATGACTGGAGGGATGTCTATTTGAGTGGGAGTTCATTGAATAATTTGATTAGATGAACTTAATTATCATGAACTTAGTCTAAAATCTTTACAATATGTCTTGTAGATCAAATGGCCCACGTTGTCCTCAACTTCAACGTGTTCCTAGAGAAAACCAAGCTGAAAGACAATGGCAGCAACTATACGGACTGGGTCCGGAATCTGAGGATCATCCTCATAGCTACCAAGAAAGATTATGTCCTAGAAGCACCGCTAGGTGACGCACCCATCCCACAGAACCAAGACGTTATGAATGCTTGGCAGTCATGTGCTGATGATTACTCCCTCGTTCAGTGCGGCATGCTTCACAGCTTAGAACCGGGGCTCCAAAAGCGTTTTGAGATATACAGAGCATATGAGATGTTCGAAGAGCTGAAAATGGTTTTTCAAGCTCGGGTCGAGAGATATGAAGTCTCCGACAAGTTCTTCAGCTGTAAGATGGAGGAAAATAGTTCTGTCAGTGAGCACATACTCAAAATGTCTGGGTTGCATAATCGCTTGACTCAGCTGGGAGTTAATCTCCCGGATGACGCGGTCATTGACAGAATCTTTCAGTCGCTTCCACCGAGCTACAAGAGCTTTGTGATGAACTTGAATATGCAGGGGATGGAAAAGACCATTCCTGAGGTATATTCAATGCTAAAATCAGCAGAGGTAGAAGTCAAAAAGGAACATCAAGTGTTGATGGTGAATAAAACCACTAAGTTCAAGAAAGGCAAGGGTAAGAAGAACTTCAAGAAGGACGGCAAGGGAGTTGCCGCGCCCGGTAAGCAAGCTGCCGGGAAGAAGCCAAAGAATGGACC